CCCCCCTCCTTTGAAGACAGGCTGAGAGAGTTGGGGGGGTTCAGCCTGGAGAAGAGAAGGCTCCGGGGAGACCTTAGACCCCCTTCCAGTCCCCAAAGGGGCTCCAGGAGAGATGGGGAGGGACTCTTGATCAGGGAGTGGAACAATAGGATGAGGGGGAAGGGTTTTAAAATGAAAGAGGGGAGATTTAGATCAGATATTAGAAAGAACTTCTTTGGTGTGAGGGTGGTGAGAGCCTGGCCCAGGTTGCCCAGAGAAGCTGTGGCTGCCCCATCCCTGGAGGGGTTCAAGGCCAGGTTGGATGGGGCTTGGAGCAACCTGGTCTGGTGGGAGGTGTCCCTGCCCAGGGCAGGGGGGCTGGAACTGGATGATCTTTAAGGTCCCTTCCAACCCAAACCATTCTGTGATTTAATAACCCCTGAAAGGGAGCTGCGCTTCCTTCTCAACGGTGACAGGTACTTGTTTGTGAACCTTGGGCTTCCACCAGGTCAGTAGCTTCATCTGTAAATCCTGCCTGTGACACCCAATGGAAGTGTACCACTGGTGAGAGCAGCGGGCCTCGGAGGCACATGGAGCTGTTGATTCTTGTCCTTTATTACCCCTTCTCTGTACACAACAGTCTTTGCAGGCGTTGGTTGGCTGCAGCTCCTTCATGCAAGAAGTCAGTTGAAAATAGAGCTGTTGCTGAAGCTGCCAGAGAAATGAGTGGCATTCCATTGTTTGCGACATAACTATGCTCTTGCTTTCTTATTTTTTAGTGTGCAGATAAGCTTTGTTATGTACCTAATATAGCAATCTCCATAAGTGATCTTTAAGTGAGGACGCCTGTGGTTTAAGACAAAATGACTAAAACATATGAAAACTGGGGAGACTGATGCTTTTTCAGGCTTACGCAGCTGCATGCCATGACCTTGATCAACCCACTACATTCTTGATGTCTTAGGCATTGTTATTGCACATTGGGTCTTGCAATACTTTGGTTACACTTTCAGTTCTTTGAGTGAAAAGTGCTATTTGGCCTAAGTCAAAAATACTGTTCCAGATGGCTAGAGATACTCCCGTCTTAATTACTGCCTGTACTGAATCCAGAGCTTTGAGATTTCTTCTTGGTTTTAATCTAGCAAGAAAGCTGTATCATTACACAAGCTACTGCAAAGGGTGAGAAAAGCTCCTTAAACCACGAGAAGAATCTCTGTTGTCTGCATTCCTAAGAATCAAATGCCATTAAGCAGATGAGTGACCACAAGAACAATGGTTAAGCAGTGACTGGAAGAGAGGCATTAGATAATAATCTTATGAAATGCAACCTTTTCAGTTCTTGTGGGTTTTGTGCAAACGCTTCTAGTTTTGATCTGTGTGGAATTTCCTTTTGAAATTTAGTTTGAGTTTGCACTAAAAAAATCAAAAAAATTGTGGAAGTGCTGGTTGGGAATCTGTGCACACCAAGGAGCTGGTGACTTGCTTGCTGGTTACAGAAGGTTTGAGCCAGGATTGGAAGATCTGATACAAACAGCCTGAGGCTTCGTAGCAAAGTAACCTCAAAGCAGCTGACTATCAGGTGGTTTGATACTTGTTCATCCCAAAGTTTCCACAGAGTTGATGACTAACTAAATTGGATGTAGACCTTTTACAGACAGCAGAAAAGTAAAGGATGGAGTTTACTCACCGAGTTCAAAGAACTCAGTTCCCTGTTGTTTGCGTGTGAGAAACTCACACATGAACAGCAGTAAATAACTGTGGTGCAGCCCTTCAAGAGCAAAAACCCTCCACTTGCTCTTGTAAGGGCTCAATTAGGGACTCCATGAGCCATGGTTTAGTTCGTGGTTGTTTGGGTTTGGTTTTTTTTAATACCTTGTATATTTATCTTCTTTCCTTAGCAAAGGAGTGAACGAGGGAATTGAATGGATGGTGAAGTGCGTGGTGAGGAATATCCACCGGCCCCCAAGAAAGAAGGACATCACGTAAGAAACTCCAAGGTGGCCAAGGAACGGACAGTCTTTTCCACACAGTTTTGTGTTCCCTTTAAAGAAGGTGGTTCACTGGATTCCTATTACACCTGATTCTTTCCTAAGTTTGGAGACAAACATTCTCTTTCTGTGTCTAAAAAAAACCTTGAGCAAAGGATTCCAACTGGGTGGGGGGTGGGAATCTCTTACATTAAGTATTAAATCGTTGGCCTGAGAGCACAGACCAAGTGGTGATCTACACATTGGTGCAGATGCAAAGGACTTAATTTTCTACTGTATTACTTTGTGATCCTTGATTCGTTAGTCTAACAGACTAGAGGCCAGTGACATGAAGGAACTCCTGAAGGAACTGTGCAGGTGAATATGAAAGGGGAGGGAGAGCCTGGGGAATGGCCATCCCGTCTAACTGAGAAGATCCCCTGCTGCTCCAGCCCCGTGGTTACTGTAGGTGGTGTTACTGGCCCTGCTATGCTGCTGTTTGTATAATGGGAAGAGACAGTGTTGATTATAACTCAATTTTCAGTCGGCATGTTGATTTGTAACTTTTACCTGTGGTAAATGCAGAAATGGAAGCCAGCACAACTGTACACTGTTTAAAATGGATATTCTTAATAGGACGTGAACTCCCGAAGCACTGCCCTGCTTTGACTGCCAATCTCTGTTGTGCATTCTCTTTAATTGTAAGAATAATTGGTATCTTCTATAACTGGAATGAATGCAGGCCCTCTCTGTGATCTTTCTAGGCCGAAAGCTGAACCTTTAGGCAGGGAGAAATCAGTATGCAATAAAGCTTCCTACTTCTTTGAACTTCTCTTGCTGAAAGAACTGATGTTTGGAAATAGTGGTACTTAGCCCTCTAGTTTGATGAAATGCAAGAAAGAACAGAAAGGCAGCTCTCAAAGTCAAATAGTGCTCACTTCTCGTGTAGCCTACCCAGCTGCTAATTCTGCTGAAATCCAGCATTTCTGAAAATGCCTCTTTTGACATGCTCTTTACAGTGGTTTGGCAGCGGCTGTTGCTCTTTGCATGTTTTAGTTACTCCTGGCACTGGTGACCATTCTGTGTGAACGGGACGTTATTCAAGCTCTGCTTGAGCAAGTTAGAGAGTATTATTTGTTTAAAAATATTATATTTGGCATCTCTCAAAGAACTTTCTGCTAAATTTTCTGCATGTAAATCATTGCTTTTTTTTTTTTTTTTTATGAGAGAACAATTCATTCCCTCACATCTGGGTCAAAGTGTGAGGGCAGCTGACTATGTCATTGAGCGTGTGGAATCAGTGGAAATAATTACATACTGGAAAATGGAATCTTACTTCTCAGTAACACCAGGGCAGGATAAAGCAAAGCAAACTGTCCAATAAGATATCAAATCCCCTTTGATTACTTGCTGTTCTTTGAACAGGTGGTAAAACACAGTACTCAAGTCTGAATTTGAATGGTGCCACTGTCAACGTCATCTCGCAGCAGAATGAAACCCAGACTCCAAAGATTTCCTTGGGCTACTTTAGACCCATCTCAGGTTTGTTACAGGAATGTAAAGGATCTCTTGAAGATCCTTAAAGATCCTGCTGTAAGAAGTGACACTTTCTCTAGGTGCTGCTTGTGATGTCAGGATGAGAGTTCCAAGCATACAGAAGTATTGGGTACCCAGGGGCTGTTGATTACAAGGGAAAATCTCTCTCACTTGGCCATCTCTGAAAGCATGAGTGTTCTCATGGTATCTTTGTGGTCCTGGCTCTTGTTTTGGTTGGCAGGGTCAGTGCTAACAATTAAACTGAAGTTGTAAAACAGCGACTGGTAGACAAGTGTGCCTTGCTGAAAGACAAAACACTTTAGTCAAGTAACTTGAAACATCTGTTTAATGGGATAGCAGGGATTTTCCAAGCTTTCCACATAATCAGATCTCTTCCTCTCTCTATTTGCTAGGAGACCAGGGAGAAAAAACAGTTTTGAGCTTGAGGCCATAGCTGTTCTCACAGGTTTCTAGACACAAAGATGTGCTTTGTGGCACATATCAGCAGGAGGTCTTAAATTACAGCAAATGTTTTGACTTCAGAATCACAAGTTCCCAGGGGTGGGAGAGTCTTTCACCCAGAGAGATGCATCAGCTGCGATACGTAAGTATGAGCACACTCTGATGTCCACAGATAATCAGGGAGGATTTCTCTGAAACTGGCAGTGAAAAGCTCAATGTCATGCAGAGTTAGTAACAGCAGTTACTTGCTGGGGCACACAGATAAGTCAGTTTTAGGGAAGAGCTTTGCAGTCAGGTTTTTCCACCATTACAGATAAAGTCACCTGCCTGATATCCTTGAAAGATTTCCTGGGGAAGCCCAGCAGGTAGAGTCAAGCCAATTGTTGGATTGCTCTGGTGTGTCCTCTGTGCTGCAGCAGGACTGCAGTGAAGGAATGCAGCTTGATCAGCTGAAAGGTACAAGATAAAGATCTTGCTGTGCCAGCACAACCTGGGCTTGGATCTCACTGATCACGTCCCACGTGCAGTTGCTTTACGTGAAGCACAAAAACAGTGGAATGCTGCTAAGTCAGCTGGGGCTTTTGGTTGAGTCTCCTCTGTCTGGTCATAAATGGCTGCACAAGGACACTGATTACTTCCTTCTGTTGGTTTTATTGCAGCTTCAGTCTCTATAAGCAGCTGCTACTGATGCCTCAGAACAGACCAGTGGAATAGGATCGAATTGACATGGAAAAGCATTCTCAAAAGGGATGGTGATCAATGCATAAGCTCTGCTAAAAAAAAGCTCTACTAGAATAGTCTTAAGATGATGTGCTGATATCTGATAACTATCTTATATTTTGATAAGTAATTTTATCAATAATTTATCATATATTAGCCTTCTGCTGTATTTAAGTCCTTACAGGAAGCACAGACTCTTATTTAAAATGCTTTTGCGTTGCAAGTGACTCCGCTGCAAAAACGTCAACCAAAGGGAGGAGGTTTCAGAGTAGTTCAAACGTGTCCCATTTTTCAGATGTTTGATTCATTTGAGATGGACCTGTTTGACCCATCCGTCTCCACAGTGATTTATTTCTCTGAAGAGATGCTTTATCTTCCCAAGGTAAAACAGATTAATCATCTGTACTGTAGTCCCTTTTTCCTGCTACGTGCTTTACGCTGAGATAAAGCTAGGTTTCTAATCATCATGGTAGTTACTCCACTTGCCTTATTTGAACATTGGCAGAAGATTAACTTTCTCTCACCCGTCTGGAATTTGTGCTATACAAACATTTATCAGCTGTTATAGCAGGGGGAGGCAACAGCGTTCCTTTAAAAAAAAAAAAACAAACCCCAAAGAACCACTTATAATGATACGCTTTTGAGTACTCTGTGAATCACAGCGCTGTCGACGTGGTGGTGATTTCATCTTCATTTGGAATCATGGAAAGACACAGAATGACTGAGTTGTGGTACTTTTTGCTGGTGCTACCTATTCCCGTCCCCTCCTAGTGCAAGGCAACAGCCACGTGTTGTCCTCGTTGCAAGGGCCTGATGGTTGGCTCCTCAGTGATGCTGGTGTCAGAGCTTATCCCACCCACCCCAACATCCCATCCCACAGAACCAGGAGAAATTCCAGGACAAATCAGATGCAGCTTTGTGCTAATTCCAATGTCTTACTTGGGGCTCTGGGTGGCAATATCTGCTTCAGAGCGAGTTGGAGAAGCAAGGAGAAGACATACTCTCTGCTAAACAGGGTTGGTTTAGTCCTAATGGAGCTCTTGTTAGGCTCTTCTTCCTCTCTAGTCCCATTTCTGTGCTGCTGATACAGCCTCTAGCATCCCATGTACACCAACATGTCCAGTACATTCATTTGTTTAAGGTACAATTGTGCCTTTACACGTGACAGATGGCAAATCTCAAGCCAAAGGGCACTTAAATGCCAGTCTGGAAATGTGCTTCTCCTCAGTGATGATCTTTTCACTGGGCGTGAGACTGTTGAGTTAGTCACGGTTTCCAGAACGTAGGCTCATGAGTTACTGACCATGGGTTTCCAAACCCCTCGTGGATTTGGGAAGTACAAGGTTCCTGCAGCCCTCAGCTAAAATCCTGTGCTAAAGCCCTTGGAGGTTTCTGAATTGGTTTATTGTTTGGAACAGTTTCCTGGGACTTCTCTGCTTGCAAGTGGTGTTAGCTCAAGGAGAGAACTTCTAGAGGGTCTGCTAAGAAAGGCAGAGTGGTACTCTCACTGGTTTTGACTGTTATCCCTTTAAATTTAAAAAAATATATCTGATTATTGTAGATGGTAACTGACTGGCCGCCACAGGCAGCAGTGTTCATACTAAAGGGAAGTGGGTTCTGCCCCTGCTTGTGCTCCTCAGCTTTCACCAAAAAGAGATTGAGTTTGCCTTCGCTCTTGGGACCATTTTCAGAGAGTGAAAGAAACTACTCCCAAGTGTTTGTTTGTCTGTAAGTTTCCCGAAAGCAATTTGAACAATCAAGAAAAACAGGCTGAAAACCTGCCACGGAGACAGGTTATGGGCTGGGTGCCCTCTCAAAAATTCCTTTTGGCACTGTTTTTCTTTTAAAATTTGGCTTAGAACCTGTCTCCAGGGAGATAAGAGCCAGTGGAGAGGTGGGAAGAGCCTTTGCCTTCTGCCAAGCTCTCAGTCGGGACAAAGGATGCCAGAGAAACCAGGGCAGGTGCTTTTTCACCCTGGAATTTTATGCGAGTTGGAAATCCCTCTTGAAGCATTCCTGTTATTATTCCTGCTGGACCTTAGGCGTTTCCTACAGCATTGCCCTTTGGTTTTGTTTCTTGTGCTTCTGAAATCCCTTCAAGAGTTGTTTTTCTGCCCCTCTGGCAAAACCAGCTTCCATGACAACTGCAGGGGGCTTTCCGTTAGTTTCTCTCCGCACGCTCAGGGGGTTTTATATCCAAAACCACTTCAGGAGGGTACAGTTTTCGCTGTCGGCGGTGCCTGCTCTCACACAGCTTCGTCTGCACAGCTCAAATCTGGTCACCAGCCTCGGAAGGGAATGCTGATTAAATTTTCTGGTGAAAGAAACAAAGAAATTGGTATTTAAAGCAGTCGGAACCTCGTGTAGGAAACTGAGGACTGGTGTGGAAAACTTGGACAGCACAGTACGCAACATCTCTGGGGAAAAAATGACCTAAATCTCTTCCATAAACTAGGTGCTTATCAAGTGGAAACAAGAAGAGGAGGAACATTTGCAGGGAATTACTCAGTTGTGGAATTCTGCCTGACGTCTATTTAAACACATAAAATGACTGTCTGGAGGCAGGAATCTCCTCATTCCTTCTGGGTTGCACTGTCTTTCCTTAAAGCTGCCGACTACAAACAAGTTCCCAGATTCCAATATTGTTAGTAGTGTCCTCTGTTGGACACCACGTTCCCCACCTCCTTTTTTCTGGGTGTCTCTGCAGCAGCCACCACCTTTGAGAGCCGTCACAGGCTGTCAAAAAGCCTGGTGGAGATGAGGCAGGAGTTACATTTGCTTTGGAACTCACGGGATGAAGTATTGCTGAAACAAAAATCCTTGCTGGAGGAACACGTAGTAATTGTTACTGCCACAAAATAGGGCTACAAAGATGATGAGGAGCCTGGAGCATCTCCCTTAAGAGGAAAGGCTGAGGGACTTGGCTCTGTTTAGTCTGGAGAAGAGAAGGCTGAGGGGGGATCTGATCAATGCTTATAAATACTTAAAGGGTGGGTGTCAAGAGGATGGGGCCAGTCTTTTTTCAGTGGTGCCCAGACTTGGGCACAAACTTGAATATAAGAAGTTCCACCTAAACATGAGGAGGAACTTCTTCACTTTGAGGGTGGCAGAGCCCTGGCAGAGGCTGCCCAGGGAGGTGGTGGAGTCTCCTTCTCTGGAGACATTCCAAACCCGCCTGGACATGTTCCTGTGCAACCTGCTCTGGGTGGACCTGCTCTGGCAGGGGGCTGGACTAGATCATCTCCAGAGGTCCCTTCCAACCCTACGTCATTCTGTGATTCTGTAACTCATGAGTAAGGCCTTCTTTAGGTGCAGGGCCATAGATGGTGCTGTCTTTCTGCCATCCACAAATACTCCACTTACCCTTCTTCCATCCAGTCGTCTCCCAACAGCTACTCCCTGCCCTTGGGACTTCCACGGGAGCAAACAACCACTACGTCAGACTCTGGTGCTTAAACCCACCTGCTTGAACCCCTGTTCCTCGCAGACGGACCCAGCTGCTGCCAGCTGTTCCTGGATGTGAAGGACGAGCAGCTTCACACAGCTGTGGATTCCCCGCTGCTCTTGGAATTGCCCAGCAGCCGGGGGAGGCAGCTGCCAGGACACAAGGACAGTGTTGTTTAGTAAAAGCTTCCTCGCTTGAAGTGTCCATCCTCCCGCTGGATGGATGTCGGGCAAAACGTTTGGAGGAACTAATTCCAGCCTCTGATCCAGTGCAGCCTGAAGACTGGTACTCGGTGCCATAAGCACTGCTCTGAGGAGAAACTAAACTCACTGTAAAATTAAGCGTATCGTTAAATGCTCTCCTGAGACAGAAGCCTACAGCGTTGTTGCTGCTCGTGTTCCCGTTCAGTTCACAGCCAGGAATTCCTCTGCCTGTTCTCAGAAATCAAATAATTTGATACCATCTCATCTGTAGATCTTTAGCAAATTTTTTGAGTCACACTCCCCCCAAACCAAACCAAAAAAAGGGTTCTGTAAGGCAGTGATAGAGAGGAATAAGGAATGTGTTGTTCCCAGAAGCTGGTATTGCAAATAGCATCTCCTCACTGCCTGCCCCCTTGGATGGTGATGGTCCAACAGACCCATGGGCAGCCCCTGCATCTTGGTCTGAGGTTGGGCTGGGTGTCCCTGTTGTGTGACCAAAGCCCGTCCTGCTGTGCTTGTCTGTTGGGGAAGAAGGTGACCTGCAAGACACCAGGGGTTATCCTGCCCTGGGGAAAGATTATACTCCCTGTGACACAAACAAGGCTTATTCCTACAGGAGATACTCACAGTTACACCTAATGCCCGCACGGATTGAGACCACCAGCTTGTCACAGAGCTCTGCCCCGGGGAGGGAAGTGGTGACAGCAAAGGCAGCGGCCACCTGGGGAAGGGGGAAGGACAATTCTGCACGGAACGCAGCTGATCCCACGCAGCCACATCCTCAGCGTGGTGGAAATCCTGCCAGCTCATCTCCACACCACGAGAAGAGGCAGGATCACAGGACAGTCCACACCACAGGCTGTGACAGACCTAGTAAATGTCCCAGGAGCATAACTGTGGTGTGAAAGGGCAGGGGAGCTCTGCGAGGAGAGACGCTGAACGACAGGGAAGGCTGTTCCCACCTGACATCACGGCCGTGAGCAACACAAACCTGAGTGAAAGCAGAACTTGGGTTCTTATCAGAGCTGATTTGCTCTTTCAGATTCAGAGTCACGAAGTGGGGAATGTACACTCCTGCTCTTAACTTCCAAGTTTCCCAACTAAAGGTTTTAGCTTCTGGGAAGAGCAAAAGAAATCTCATGAATCACCTACCGCGCTCCAGTATCACAGAGGGAAGTACAGAGACAGAAAGAGAAACCAGGATCAGGGGATCTGGATGGTCTGACTGAGGATGAACAAGCACATTGGAGCGTGTCCCTGGAGCTGATCTGATCTCTCCAAAAACCTTTATCTAGTCCCTTGCGCTTCACAGCCAAAAACACCCTTCATTTCACATGCCTGAGCCTCGGCAGCAGCACCCAGACCACCCAACGCACGTCCTCGCTGAGCTCATGTTCTCGGAGCCATAGATGGGAAGTTGCCATTCCCTGCGCTTCCATAGAAAAATGCTCAAGTCTCCCAGCCCTGCTCCTCTCTGTTACAGCTGGGTCCCAGCACAGCTGGAGTTCCCTGACGTTCAGAGCAGCTGGGAAAGCCCCAGCCCGAGCGTGGGATGCTGCCGTCACCTGGTGGGTCGGGTGCCTGGTGCTCCTCCTGGGTGATGGGTGACAAGGGACAGCACACAACCGGGTCCTTGACTCTGCCCCACATCCCTATGGCAACACAAGGTCTCTGATTTCCACTGGTGCTTAGTCACGATGGCACAGCAGGAGCCCTCTGCCTAAACATTGTGTAAGATGGAAAATGCCATTGTTTTTCAAAGGGTAAGCAAACAGTTGTTTTGGGAAGACTATTTTATGTTGACCCCAATAATAATACATGAAGTGCTTGTGGTTCTGAACAGCCAGGGTGTTGTGTAAGGAGATGATGGCTGTAGTCATTCCAAGCTTCCTGATCATGTTTCCCAGAAAACTGATGTAAGCTAAAGGCCATCAGATTTACTATCGTATTGTGCTTTTGTTCAAGCTAAGAGCAGGCAGTACTCAGGCCTGAGTGTTATAGGCTACATACCTTGGGAGCACATTCAGGGGAGCCAAATAATGGCTGAACAAATGGAAAAAATGTGCTTCAGATGTGACCCTTTGCTGGATCAGTTCCTGTAAGTGACCTTTTCATTCTTTCAGGGCCAAAGCAAGCTTTTCTGTAAAGGACAACTGTCCACCCAACACTTGCTTGGAAGCAAACGCTGGAAATAAGTGAAAATTACACTGTTGTGCTCTGAAACCGTAAGAAACCAGATTCAAGGTATTGTTAAAAAAAAAAGCAATTTTGTGCAATGTTTCTTTAGCTCCCATTTTAACTATTCAATCAGTGCTACAGCCCCAGCTGAGCAGGTCTGGGTACTAAATACTCCCAAAAAACTGACTCTACGTGGGGAGTCAGGGATGGAAGGTCCTGTCGCCTGTTTTCACCTCGCTCAGTGGGGGCAGCAATAATTTGCTTTTTTTGGAACTTGCTTACTGCAAAGACCTCCAACCACCTTTGAAATGGGGAACCTGGAAAGCTCATCACATTTTACAAGGGGAAAAGAAGGGCACCAGGGCAGGCAGCTGGGCAGTGAGGGAAGGGGCAGGGGTGGTGACCCCCCCAGCCCTCACTGCACCCCGAGGAAAGATGGGGCTCTGAAACGGGGACCCTTCAGCAACTCTTGTAGGGTCGTCGGGCTGCCAAGTGTTTGAGCTTCTTTATTGGGATTAATATCAAAAAACCAAAGTGTTGCCTTTCCATTAATGTTTTTCATTGAGGTTTTCACATTTTCATTGAAAGGGTTGATCAGTCAGATTCTGGGTTTGGTTGACATGAGGCAAAAATTCCCGTTTCATTAAAAGAAATATGAGGGAAGTGATTGGGAGGCAGAGTTTCACCCAGCTCTGGCCGGGAGCAGGTCAGTGGTTACGAGCCACGCGCAGCCCAAGAGCCCTTGGTCCATCTCCTCACCTGGTCCTCACCTCTCGGTTCCCCCGTGTCCGACTGGCGCGGGCTGGGACGGGTGATATCAGCTGGGCTTCCTCCACTTTGCAACTTCTGCTCCTTTTCAGACTTCACCCCCTGGAAGCCACAGGAGGTTCAGACAGAAGCCATGATGTATGAAGGGCTCCTGCAGCAAAGGAGGGCTTAAAATAAGAGCAGGGTGAGTGAAAGCTGGTCCTGCATCGCAGCAGGTCTGGGTCCAGCGTCCTCAGTGCTGCCATACCAGGTGGGGGTGGTGGCAATGGCTTTGTCCTGAGCATCACAGCACCCCTTTCCCTACCTGTGTCGGGGTCCTCTCTGGCACCCCAGTCCAGGTACACCCAAACGGAGCATGGCTTGGCTTGCCCTGCACACTTCAGCCATCTCTCTGCTCCTGCTCTTGGACATGGTTCCCTGGTCTCACCTCTGCTTCCCAGCACTCTCCACCTGCAGCGCTGGCACCGGAGGAGCTCGGTCCCATCTTGGGGTCACTGCAGAAATAACACCTGCGATGGTGAGGGACGAGTCCCAGCAGGGACAGCCCGGGCGTGCAACACGGAGGATGACAATCAGAAGGAAAAAACCTATGATCGGAAGAAATAAAGATGCATGCTTCAAAAGGAGATAAAATCGGTGCCTCTTTGGAACGGTGATGGGCGAATCCAAACACGTTGGGTGTCTGTTGGCAGTCCCCGAGTCCTCTCCCACAGTGTCTGGAGGGCTCAGCCCACCCTCAGCTGCTGAGTGACACGGGAGGGGGCGAAAAACAGCCTCCAGCAAAACCAACGTGTGGGGAAATGCGCAGGCAGAAGAGTGAAATTACCAGTCTCGTGACTGGGTGGTAGCCCCAGGGCCACGGGTGGCCAGAGTCTCTCTGGACAAGCAGGATTAGGAGTTGGCACCGGTCACATCCCCGCCGCACACCTGGAAAAACCCCTCCTGGGTTTCCTCTGAGATCCTGACTCTCCTCGTTCGTGACGTCGAGGCGTAATCCAGCTGCGTGTGACCTCACGAGGAAAACACCTCGCACCGACACCTTCAACAAATGTTACTGGCTCACCCAACCCCGCTCACCCCCGCGGCGCTGGGCCGCCCTTCTCGGGGCGTTAAAAGCACAACGTGCCCAAACCGCTCTCGTGAAGGGCACGGCGGCTCCCGCTGACGGTGGTTTCATGGGTTTAAGGACCTGTGGCCACCCTGAGTCACGGGCCACACCTGGCTGCGGCGAGAGAGAGGCGCAGGGTCAGCAGCCCTGCCTCAGCACTTTAAATAAATAAACTAGTGGTTTTTCTGTGGGGTTTGGTTGCTTTTCTTTTTTTTTTTTTTTTGTCCCCTGACGTAAGCATTTAACAGCAGAGGGTGACAGGGAAGCCTGGCTCAGAACAGTGTGGGCTTGAGCTTTTGGTGTGGTCTCATAGCGTTTGGGAAAAGCAGCTTTTGCGCCCTAAATACCTGAGTCATTGCCGGGGGAGAGCTACGTCCACATTTAAACGTTACTACGTTCTTGTCCTCAGCCGCAGCTTACGAGGAAAAGAGTCATTTAAATTACCAGGAAGAAGCTCACGCTGCCGACTGTTCCTCCTTCTCTCTCCGGGCTTTGGAAACTTCAGCGAAACTGAAAGGGGGTTTTTATCCTCTTGAGTTATTTCACCTTCTCAATTAATTAAACATGTGATCAATCTGAGGTTGGTCCATGCGAGGGGGTGGAGGGCTCCAAAAGGCTTTTCCAGTAAAGCCCGTTTCCTGGAAAGGCAGCAGGACTCACACTCCAGGGTGTTTGGACGCTGTTCGAAAGGTCAACATTTGCCAGAAAGATCCCCCACTGTCACATTATCTGTGAGCCCACACAAGGAGAACCTTTGCTGGGCAGAAACTCCAACTAAGAATGAGGGGACATGGCTTGGGGGGGGCTGTGGCAGCGGGGGGACGCAGGGAGAGGGTCAGCACTGCTGACAAACAGCCTAAAACGGCACCAGTGCCCAAAATGTCACCTGCCTGGGAAGATCCCAAAGGGATGCTCCAAGCTGGGTTGCAACACACCAACACCCAAAGACACGCTGAACCACCGCTGGGTCAAAGACACCTCAGCAGAGCAAGAGAACAACTCGTGGGTGCTCACGAGATGTCCTGAAAGAGTGAGTCCTGCTGGTGGCACCGAGCTGGGGAGCTGCTGGGTGGCTCAGAGCATCTCCTGCCTTCCCTACACCCTCTGTCCTGGTGGCACTGGGGGAGCCTGGCAGCGCAGGGGTCGTCTGACACGGGCTGGGCGATCCCCTGACATTTAACCATCTGAGGTCTGTGGCCCCCACTGTGTCACACGGGTGACAGACACCCGTCCCAGGAGGGATGAGACATGGTCGACCCACTCTCAGTGCTGGGAGGGCCACGGGGGTTCAGCAGGGCAAGGATTACTCAGGAGAGGATGGGAAAGAGCCAGGAGGCTTCTCCTCATGCCTGCACCACCTACACCCGGGGGGTGTTGGACCCCTCGGAGTCACAGTGGTGGCACCTGAGCTCTGGCAAACCCTTGGTGGGACCAAGCCTGCAGAAGCAGCTGCTGCATTTGCTTGCTCAGACAAAGGATCTGTGCAGACTGATGTCCAGATGGGACAGAGCACTCATGGTGTCAAATAAAACCCCCTAAACCAAAAAGCACCCAACCTAACCCCCCTCCCCTGCTGGCATTCAGCAGAAAAGATGCTTCCTGGGATCTTGTCCTACCAGCTGGGCTTGACCTTGGCCTGGAGGTGTTTTGGGAGAGCAGGGGATCCCTGCCCGGTTCGGGTTTAGCAGCCGCTGGGCTGTGGCTTTGCTCAGCGTGTTGGCACGGGGACACGAGCACAGGAGTGAGCCCGTCTGAGCCACAGCCACTCGGCTTTAACCTCTGCCTGTGCCTGGGCTCACGTGGAGCCCTCGGCCACGTCACGGCCGTGGGAAGCCACCAGTGAGCAGCCACAGCTCCACCAGGAGCCCAGGGACCGGAGGTGGCCGCCTTCTGGCTCACCGATGGGACCCCCCAGCCTGCACCCCGAATTTTACCTTGCTGCTGAGAAGGGCAACAAGCTCTAAGGAAAACACGAGGTGCCCCAAGACCCCCAGCTCACCCACAGTGCCCCGTGGGCCCTTCCATCTCAGGACTGAGGTCTTTTATCACAAAAAATACACAGAAAAGGCACCTCTTTCCTGGAAAAAAAAAAATCACCTGAGGTAATGATTACCAGCTTCTTGCCAATAATATTCTCATTTTCCTTCCTTCCCCCCAACTCTCACCATAAATACACATTAGAAGAGGCCAGGGTGGTGTGGGAAAAGACCAGGAGGCAGTTCTTACACTGACAACGCTCCATTCCCTTCTCCTTTAGACAAGGACACCGAATCCTCAGCCAGGACCATCTGCAATGCAGCAGGATGGGGATCTCGCAAGGAGAGGAGCTGCAGCCAACACCGGAGGCTCTGGCTGCTCCAGCCTTCGCCCTGTCAGCCCTGGGACTCCTGCCTTCTCCTCTGCCTCAGGGAAAAGCACCACACTCCAGCAGTGTTTCATTTCTCACAGCATTCCAATGGAAACACACCTCATCTCCTGCCCCAGATGCTCTTGGACCGCGCCGTCGGCACTTGGCTGCTGCCAAGGGACTTGGAGTAAGTCCCACCTGGGGACTGAGCTGCATCCCCCCGGAATAATGCAGCTCAGTGGGGCAGGGATGAGACCTGGTGATACCTGAGCACTGGAAAGGGGAGGTTTGGCCCTTCTGCAACCTCCTTTGGGGGATTTCAAAGCTAGGCTTGACAAAGCTGCGAGGGGATGGCCGGGATCAGCCCTGGCTCAGCGCAGAGGTGTGAGTGCAGGGTCCCCTCTGCTGCTTTTCAGCCTCTTGCTTCTCTCTGTCCCTGCCTGACCTGACCCAGGGCAACGTCACTGAACTGCTTCATCCCCAGAGACCAAACCCGGGGTGAGACGGTGGCAATTCTGGGGTCCCCAACCACAACTCTGCAGAGGCAGGCAGAGGTGAGCAGACATCCAGGGCATCTGGAGCTCCAGAGCAGGGAAAAGGCAAACGCTGTCCCCAGGACCAACCCCAATCATCCAGCCCACCACGGATGAACAACTTATTGCAACAGAAGAAGCCTGGGATGAGTCTGTGGGCAGCAAAGGGAGGATAAAATCCCCTTTTGTACTGAGTTACGTCAGCCCTCCTCGCACAGGGGAAGTGTGAGGACACTTCCACACAGCACATGTTTCAAAGTGCTTCTAACAGCTCCGAGCTGGGGAAAAATGTTACGGTTTTGAACCACAAACTATTCCTGGCAATTACTCAGCTAAAATAGAGCTATAAAAAAACCACCAAAGTCATTCAAGGCAGAAGATGAGGGCTCTGTGTCATCATTGCTACAGGCTGGAAAATGCCCGAGGGGGTCACCCTTCTTGACTTCCCCAAGTGACATCTGCAAGGCTCAAATAAAAAACCTGCCTGCAGTCAGCACAACTGCCCCGAGACAGGGCTCTTGGCTGACTAAGCACCTCTTTGCTCGCCGCAGTGTCCGGTCAGATGTGGGGACAGGGCTGGGGCTCAGGGTGACACGCTTGGGTTGACCCAAGAGACGTGAGCTTCACCCTGACCTCCCCAGCCACGTCCCGCTCGCGTCCAGCCTCGCCGTGGCTCATGGTGGCTGGTGTTGGTGGCCGTGGTGTCATGTGGGTGCCAGGTGTTGTGTGATCACGGGGTGAAGCACGTGTGAAAAGCGGGCAAGTGTTAAGTGGAGTCAGAAGATGATGGTCTGGGACTCACACTACCATCTCTCCCCTCCAAATGAGACTAGGAAAGGACTCCAGTGACAGAGGATTGTATAATAAAATAATTTCTTTGGTTTCTTTCTTTAGAAAACATCTCTCGCACACGGTATAAAAACAGGTAGTTTAGAAATCAATTTAAAGCCGGCTGTACCAGTGACTTCAGGGGCATCCTACACCCAACACACCTCTCAGCAGGAGACTCCTTTCTCAAAACAAAGCACGACAAACAAACACAAGTGAATCCTCTGTGGGAAATACTGTCAAATAACTACCAAAAAAAAAAAAACACCACATCAAAAGCACACAGCTTAAAACAAAGCCAGACACTGGGTTCTTCCCCAGAAAAAAGTAATCCTGGCTGCTTGTTTCTTTTCTGATAAAATATTGACCTTGTTGAGTGCTGGAAAATCAGCAGCCGGGACCCAGGGAACTCCCAGGAGCTGCACCAGCGGCGGGTGCAGGGAGGGCACAGCTCACAGCATCCCATCCCAGGGGCAGCAAAACACCCACGGGGTGTTCCTCCCACAGGACGGCTTGACTCTGACCTGTCACTCATCTCTGCATTGCATTTCAAGTTAGGTTTGGAAAGATTAATAAATTAACGAAGCCACAGAAGAAAAAACAAAACAAAAGAAAAACCACCCGAAAAGTTCAGTTCGTGTTCTCAGTTGAGGAGGAAGCGCTTGCGGACCTTCTCCTCGATGGAGTGCAGCTTGGCAGCTCGCAGCGCGTCCAGCAGCTCCTTGGTGACCTCGTAGTGGCCCTCTTTGAGCTGGATGAGGAAAGCCCTGAACTTCTCCTGGACAACCGCCTTGTTCTCCAGCACCTGCTTCCTTGAGGAGCGCTCCAAGATTTGCTGCAGGCGCTTCAGCTTTCTGATGGGGATGTTCTGGTACACCACAAAGTCTATCATGGCTTGCTCACAGTCGTCATCTCCTAGAGCCAGTGAGAGAAAACCACCTGGAGGTTAGAGGGAAGGTGACTGTGGGACACCAGGAGAGCAGGTTACAGCCTCTCCCTGGCACATCTGCCCAGAGAGATGGTAGATTCCAGGAATGCCCCATCCCTGGAAACACTCAAGGCCAGGTTGGATGGGGCTCTGAGCAACCTGAGCTTCATGAAGTCACAGAATGGTTTAGGTTGGAAGGGACCTTAAGGATCACCTAGTTCCAAAACCCCTGCCATGGGCAGGGACACCTTCTACTAGACCATGTCCATGTCCTTCTTATGCTGGGGATCCCAGAGCTGGAGGCAGAACTCCAGGTGGGGTCTCCTCAGAGCAGAGGGGCAGAATCCCCATCTCACCCTGCTGGCCATGCTGCTGGGGAGGCAGCCCAGGATGCGGGGGACCTTCTAGGCTGCCAGCACACATTGCTGGGTCGTGTTGAGCTTCTCATCAACCAACACCCCCAAGTCCTTCTCCTCAGGGTTGCTCTCAATCCATTCTCCGCCCAGCCTGGGTTTGTACTTGCCCATCTCACCCTGCTGGCCATGCTGCTGGGGAGGCAGCCCAGGATGCGGGGGACCTTCTAGGCTGCCAGCACACATTGCTGGGTCGTGTTGAGCTTCTCATCAACCAACACCCCCAAGTCCTTCTCCTCAGGGCTGCTCTCAATCCATTCTCCTCCCAGCCTGGGTTTGTGCTTGGGATTGCCATGACCCAGGTGCAGGACCTTGCACTTGGCCTTGTAGAACTTCATGAAGTTCTACGCTGCTGGGGAGGCAGCCCAGGATGTGGGAGACCTTTTAGGCTGCCAGTGCACATTGCTGGGTCGTGTTGAGCTTCTCATCAACCAACACCCCCAAGTCCTTCTCCTCAGGGTTGCTCTCAATCCATTCTCCGCCCAGCCTGGGTTTGTACTTGCGATTGCCATGACCCAGGTGCAGGACCTTGCACTTGGCCTTGTAGAACTTCATGAAGTTCTCACAGGCCCAACTCTCAAGCCTGTCCAGGTCCCTCTGGATGGCATCCCTTCCCTCCAGTTTGTTGGGACAGTGTTCCTGCTCACTGCAGGTGAGGTTGGACTACATGACCTTTACAGGACCCTTCCAACACAAACTCTTCTATGACTCTAACCTTTAAAGGTCCCTTCCAACACAAACTCTTCTATGATTCTGTGACATTGTCCTCACCTGGGTGCTGCTCTCCAGCTGCAGCTCTGACCAGGAGTCCCAGCCCTATGAGCCCTGATGGGAAACCTCCCACTCACAACCCAACTTCCAGATTCGGGAAGGTATTTTAGCTCCTGTGGCCATGTATATCCATGAACAGGAGCTGTGGGCCCCCTGCCCAGCTCTGCCCACGCAGCCGGGTGCTGCTGGCAGGTGTGCAGTGGAACAAGCAGGTCAGAAGAGACGTTTTGTAAGTGGAAAAAATGAGGTTGGAAGGAAGGAGGAGGAGGAAAGCACCGAAAACGGTATCGTTGACTGGCTGAGGTCCATCTCTGCCAGCTAACTGCCCTGGAAGGCTGATCCAACCCTCCCCACGGGCTGGATTTCCCAGCAGTGACCCTTCCTGTACGGGGCAGTTAGAAAACAATGTGTAAAAGTTCCTGTAATTTTGAAAAAAGTAAATATACCTTTTTCATCCTCCTCCCTGCCGGGGAGTAGGGGAAGAGGGAAAGTCCACAAAAAGTGAAGTAATCACAGTAAGTGTTTACACATGTTATTTTTCCTGAAAGTTTCTCTTTGCCCATGCAGATTTTCACATCTCGGGACAGGACAAGCTCCAGGCACAGCCCAGATCAGAGCTTTTGGACAGACAAGGTCCCAGCTGGTGAAAGCGGCTGCTGGAGTGTGCCCAGAGGAAGGAATGAAATCACAAAGAATTTTCAAGAGAAAAAGGCCAAACGATTACTCAGTCAGGGACAGACTGGCCCAGTTTCATGCCATTGTAAAACTGGGAAGAGTTTCACTGATTATAATGGGGTGGGTTGGGCTCCCCTGCCCAGACTCTGCCTCTCCTGCAGACTCAGGGCTTACCCTGAACTGCTCCTGCAGTTGCCATCGTAGCCGGGAGCAGGGCAAGTGCCCACACGCCTCCCGAGTGAAATCATGATTAACCAGAGTTAAAAATACCCCTCAGTTCCCATTGCTCACGGGTCTCCTCTCGCTCTAAAAATAGCAGAAAGGCCAGTCTGGCCGCGGGTGCTGTTGCTTAACCAACGACAGCGCACGTGCTGCTGACGCAGCCTTCACCTGACCGTCCTCTTCCTCCCCGGGACCGCGTCCCACTGATGACAGAGCTTTCCATCTCCTCTCCGGCGGGATCACGCTCCTGGCAAGGAGCTCGTGGTGTGAGTCAGGCTTCATAAGCAGATATGCCCCACATTGGCCATGCCAGGAGAAGATGGAAAGGCAAGATCTCTTCTCGCAGGCTGCTGAGGGGAACTGCCTCCTTGCTTCGTCATCACAGAGGAGAAGCTCTTGTTGAAGCTCAAGCTTTATCTCAATGGAAGAAAGTAATTTTTTTTACAGTGAGAAGAGCCAATCACTGGGACCACGTCCCCGGGGATGCAGTGGAGTTCCCATCACTAGAGGTTTTTAGGAAACGGCTGGGCAATTTCATCCAGCCTCCTTTTCCTGTCAAAGGTTGGACTGATGAACTTTCAAAGTCTCTTCCAGCCTAGGCTGTTCTATGGCTCTATAATTGATTTATTATTTTTTTTGAAGTCCAGGAGTGCAGGTGCACTATCACCAAGAGCAGTACCGCTGGATTTGTCCCCTGTGTATCCTGGCTGGATGCTCAGGGTAGAGTGGCTGTTTCGAAACAGCTGCCTGCTTCACCTCAGCTGACATCAGGCCCCCGAGATGCTTTTCAGTCCCTTTTTCATCCCCTGACATTTTGGGGTGGATGTTACAAAGCACCCCAGAGCCAGCCCATCGCTCTCCCCGACTCCTTTGCCCTGCCTGTTGCCTGCTGGCAGCTCCAGCCCAACCTTCAGCCTCCACCGAGGCTCAGTGCTACGTTTACACTGTCACGATGATACAATTCACACCGTGGCTCTACTTTTCCACCGAACAGGTCAAAGTCCACCCTAAACTGAACCTCCAACGTACCTTGGACTCTGCTCCATCCAACCTGCACGAGACAACGTTGTGGCCTCAATAAAAGCTTCCTGATAAATGGGCTGAAAGCTCAGGAGAAGGGAGCGCAGGAGACACAGCAGGAACCTTCACACCGAGCCTCTTTACGTGACCGCTGGCCATGGGTTATCACTGCCAGCTATCAGTTACAGCCAGAACTGTCCTCGTGTCCCAGCATCCCCAGTTATCCCAGTCCCTGGTAAGAACCAGCAGGATTTGACTGTTGTTCTCGCTGAGCAAGAAGCCTGCACGGGCTTTGGCTGAGCAGTGGCCATTTCTTTGCTGTCCCTGCCCTACATGCTTGACCCTGGATGGGGAGGAAGGCAGCCAGTTTACATTTTATCCATAATTACTATTAATTATGGATCACTCCATAGCGTTACCAGCTATTTCACCTCATTTTGCATCTAAACAGGAAAAAAGTCGCCAGAAAGTCCGCTCTCGCCCTGGCAGCACCATGGTCCCAGCATCCCCCCTCCTCTGCCCGTGACTCACCCTGTCCCTGCACGCTGCTGTTGCTTCTCCCCAGTCCGCAGGTGGTGCAGAGGGTGTCGTGGTACTGGTTGCCCTGCACGTTGGTCACCTTCCCCTGCTGCGTGCAGTCCTGGTGCTGCTGGCACGGCTTGGTGCTGGAGACGGAGGAAGAGAAGTAGCCGTCGGGGCAGGCGACGCACTGGGTGTCCTCGAAGGGGGTACCTGCACGTGGGGAGGCAAGGGGACCATCAAACTGGGTTGAGAAGCTGGCAAAGGGAGCAGGGGCAGGACATTGTGGGGTTGACACTGGCAGAGCAAAGAGTGCCAGGCTTCATTGGAGCACCAGGGCGATGTTTTGGAAACGATCACTGCCTACAACTCCCCGAGGAAGCATCCACTTGTAGGGCAAACAGCAACGTTTCCCCTAGTCATTTCCCAAACCAAAGCCTTTGGCACATGCCCATAAACAGTCACCAGCCTCCAGACACAGGAGGAGATCTCATCTGCTGCTGAAAAAGGCCACCTCCTGGGCAGGAGACACCAGCTGGGACGATGGGTAAAAGCCAAGTGCCAAATCAGCCCTTTGATTCACAGCGGAGTCAGGAGGCTCCTGGCCAAGTGAAAGTAAAAGTGGCTGAGAAGGTGAAAGCTCCACTCGTTTCTGCAGCGCTGCCATTTCCTACCCAGGCTCCGGGCCAGACCCACTGCTGTCTCACAGGGACAGTGTCACACAAGTGAGATTGCATCAGGGCATCCTGCACCTTGTCTGCGAGAGGAGGGAACAGCCCTGACGGCAGCAAATTTCACACCCCTTTTCATCATCTCCTCAGAGAGCTCATCAAGGACAAGGTTTCTACCTTGTCACAACCCACTTAAGGCCATCGCTTTGTCTTTACTAGGACGTGTCCCAGCCAGCCCAGTGTGATCCCAACACCTGAGTCAGCATTTGCAAATGGGAAACCCCCAAGGAGCTCGTGTACCCAGAGGAACTGCAAAGGGTTCAAAGCACCCATCCAACCCGGGAGCCAGTGAGGTCTGTCCATAGCCCCACAGCCACCATGCCACAATGACGAGGTCCACATTGTCCCCGTCCAGACACAAGAGCTCACAGCCCCAGGGCTCTGCCCACCCACTTGGTCCTTTCTGGTTCAGATGTCTGGGCTGAGGCACCATTGTTCCTCGTGCAAGAAGCCACTTCATAAAAAATATAAAGCAACGACAAAAATTAGCTTCTCCTCAAATGCCCCAAGCTGCTGGCATGGCTTCTCCACCCTCCAGCCAACCCTCCAGCCAAATTTGATGTTGTATTTCAAAGGGTTTCCCTGCATTGCCTGGACACCTGGTTCACCTTTTGCCACGTTACTGCATTTTGTAACAGGCACGTCCTAGAGAAAAAATAAACCCCAAACCTCAACCGTAAGCATCAGCTGAAGGCAACAGGGTTTCCTCCTCTGGGCTGGGAGGCTGGAGCTCCCCTGTGCCGTGCGTGGAAGGACTTCAAAAGCCTCCACACTTCAAAGCACGGAGCAAGATAATGCTGTTTTTGCTGATTCTGCCCGTGCTGTTTTATTGTACCCAGCTGTGGTTTCCAGACAGAGCCCAGTCCTCGGTGATTCAGGGGAGAGTGAGAGGGAAACACACACATAGGCAACTTGTATTTTTAGAAAGTGTGTGCACACACACAAATGGGGGTAACTAAGGGAGAAGGCAGACTCGTGCTGGGGAAAGAGCAGAAAAATACCCCCCCTAACATCTCTTGTGACTTACATCTCACCAGGGGACCGAGTCATCCGCTTGTGAATCTCCCCCTGACATGAATCGAAACTAGGCTGATTTTATAGTCTTGGAACCTCTCCACGGATTCATTTCATGTTTTAAATACAGCCTTTCAAAATTGCTCAACAAAAACCACAAAACCCAGCCCCAGAGCTACACACATTCACCAGCCCTGCCCTTGCATCATTACTAGCCCTTTTCAGGCCAAATAATTAACATTCCCAGCTCCCTGGCTACCTGCCAGGAAGCAGAAGGGAGCTGAGGGAGGAGCAGGAGCCACTTGGACCTTTCCACCTGCCGAGAGCCCCGGCAGGACGAGCTGCTGCTCCGGGGATGGGTGACCAGCTCTGCCTGGTGTGGCCAGGCAAAGCAGGTAACCAGGATCACCATGTCCCATCTAAGCGTGGCGCTAGGGGATTTCAAAGGCTTTCAAAGCAGAAGTGAGAGGGGAAAAAAGCAAAGAAATCACTCCTTGGAAAAGAAGCCAGGAGCAGTTTCACAGGTCAGCAAGGAGAGCACTGTGCTGGTGAGCAACAAGGGAGTAGGTCAAGCTACAGGCAAGCACTGGCCACTGCATTTCTCCTTAATTTTTAGCTCCAGCAGAGATTTCGGGACGTGGCAAGAGCCTCAGGAGCGCACACACACACGCTGCTGCTCATGGAGCCACCGGGCTCGGGGACTTACCCAGTTTCTCTACGCCGAAGCCCAGCGGGCACTCAGAGTGCTTGATGCAGAACTCCATCTCCGAGTAGTAGCCCTCCTGGCACTGGCAGACACGGTTGTGGGTGGCATTGCACTGCTGCACCTCCACCTGCTTCTCCCCGCAGATGACGTTACAGTACCGACACTTCTCCAGGTAGTTCCAGTACTGCGTGTAGTGCAAATCCGGGCAGGGAGCGCACACCGTCTGTCTGTCCCTGCTGCAGTGCTGTGCCACGAAGGTGCCCGGCGGGCACTGCTGGCAGGTGAGCTTCTTGTTTGTCACGGGATCTTTCCATTGGTAAGTGGGTTGGGCGCTGCAGCCGAGCTCAGCCAGGATGAGGAGGAGAGGAGCAAACATCCACTGCAGCAAAGAGAGCGCAAAGGGCCCTTAAGCTCGTCCTCTCGAGGAGGCAGAGCGACAAACACGGCCAGGCTGGATGGGGCTTTGAGCAACCTGGTCTAGTGGGAGGTGTTGGGGTTGGAATTCAATGATCTTTAAGGTCCTTTCCAACCCACACCCTTCTAAGAGTCTATGAAATGCGGCTGCTGCGTTACAGAATTTATTCTTGTTGTAGATGTAATCAATTATTCTCCCACCTCGTGCTCTACCCAGTCCCAAGGGTAAAGCAATGGTGGTAGCAGGGACCAGCCACTGTCCCCCATGTGCCACCCCATTGCCATCCCAGGTGACAAAGCATCTTTCCCAAATGCTTCTCAAACCCATTTGTGGTGCCTTCACAACCCCATTCCTCCCTTTCCGTACTTAAAGCAGCTCCAGCACATTCTCCTCCTCTTTGCACCCCACTTGGTTCTTCACCATTTGGGGTGAAACCTTTGCAGATGAAGCAGCAGAAGGTGAGTTTCCCAAACTAACAAATACAGGGGTGCTCCACAGGAACTCTAATTTTCTTCTGTAACCCAGTGCCAACCTTTTGCTATTCTGTCTAAGAAATGAGAATCCCAGAGTCCTGTTTATCCTTCCTTTCCTTTCCAAAGCACGTGCGTCCGACCCTCAGAGCAGATGGTACCTTACCTTGGATGGATGCCTTAAATTGGGCATGTGGCAGGGCAGCATAGCACCGAGGGCTTCCGAGCGTGGCCACCAGAAACCTGGGGAGACACAGCGGGTTCTTCAAAGGCTGCTGGTGGCTCTGAAGGAGAGCGGCTGGGTGGGAGCTCCTCTCTGTAGCAGCAGCAGCGCCGATCCGGCCGTCCAGCTTTAAAG